ATCTGAGAAGGGTATTCAAAAGTTTGTGGCTGTATAACAATCAACCCAGTACTTACTTGGTCAGTTTGTAGCTGTATAACAACCAACCCAGTACTTACTTGATAAGTTTGTGGCTGTATAACAATCAACCCAGTACTTACTTGATAAGTTTGTGGCTGTATAACAATCAACCCAGTACTTATTTGATCAGTTTGTAGCTGTATAACAATCAACCCAGTACTTACTTGATCAGTTTGTGGCTGTATAACAATCAACCCAGTACTTATTTGATCAGTTTGTGGCTATATAACAATCAACCCAGTACTTATTTGATCAGTTTGTGGCTGTATAACAATCAACCCAGTACTTATTCTGATCAGTTTGTGGCTGTATAACAATCAACCCAGTACTTATTTGATCAGTTTGTGGCTGTATAACAATCAACCCAGTACTTATTTTATCAGTTTGCGGCTATATAACAATCAACCCAGTACTTATTTGATCAGTTTGTGGCTGTATAACAATCAACCCAGTACTTATTCTGATCAGTTTGTGGCTGTATAACAATCAACCCAGTACTTATTCTGATCAGTTTGTGGCTGTATAACAATATATGGTTGTGGTCATCTTATTAGTTCCATAAAAGAAACAATGTGGTCATTTTGTTGTTCTTTATTAAAAATACTCGAGGTCCTTGGTTATTAAATTCAACAAAGCGAACTCCATTTTAAAATTTAGGGTTTTTCTTATATTGACAGTAGCGACACCATCTTTATTTTCAAAGATCAGACTTTCTGAGTTAAAGATTTTCTAACATAAACTATTGTTTAGATCCTATCAGATATTTTAACATAAAGTATTGTTTAGATCCTATCAGACTATTTAACATAAAGTATTGTTTAGACCCGATCAGATTTTCTAACATGAAATATTGTTTAAATCTGATCAGACTTTCTAATGTAAAATTATTGTTTAGGTCCGATCAGTCTTTTTAACATAATATATTGTTTAGATCCCACCAGACTTTCTCACATAATATATTGTTTAAATCCGATCAGACTTTCTAACGTAAAATATTGTTTAGATCTAATCAGATTTTCTAACCTAATCTCTTGTTTACACGTGTAGGCTCTTACAAAAGCCAGTAAATCTCACGAATCAGTGAATGATTATGTTTTGATTGAGGAAGTTCAGCGAGGATGGGATAAAAGACAGTCTGAAAAGTCCACGTCTCAACGCTTTCTTGACCCACACGAACGCCCTCTGGAGGCACAGGCTCACTGGCAGGGAGAAGGGCGATTCATTCTGAAGAAACTAAGTGATGTATGAGTATTTGTGTTTAGAAGACAAAACTAAACTAGTTTATAAACTACTTTATAGAAGACAGTAATACATTATTGAATACCCTTCTCAGATAAACTACTTTATAGAAGACAGTAATACATTAGTTCAGGAGAGTACAACTCGGGAGGTTATTGGTCAGGTAATATTATGTTCAGATGAAGGCTTGTTCTGTTTTATCATTCACCTGTTATCATCAAAAACGATAAATAACGATCAGAACAAGCCTTCATCTGAACATAATATTACCTGACCAATAACCTCCCGAGTTGTACTCTCCTGAACAGAACAAGCCTTCTTCTGTATATAATATTACCTGACCAAATAACCTCCCGAGTTGTACTCTCCTGAACAGAACAAGCCTTCTTCTGAACATAATATTACCTGACCAATAACCTCCCGAGTTGTACTCTCCTGAGTGATCTTTAATATCGTACTGGACTTCTCGGACTGAACTCCGTGAACCATAAGAAAAAACATTCTTCTCTTCACAGGTGCTGAACCAACACTTGTGACCTGAAAAAATTAACACTTAATCAACACTTGTGACCTGAAAAAATTAACACGTAATCAACACTTGTGACCTGAAAAATTAACACGTAACCAACACTTGTGACCTGAAAAAGTAACACGTAATCAACACTTGTGACCTGAAAAATTAACAGGGAATCAACACTTGTGACCTGAAAAAG